AAATTAACATGTCTGGATTCAGTTAGAGCAAAAATCTGGGGAATAAATACCCACATAAGCTCTTTTTTCAACTTAATTAATTGAGGAGACTGTTAGTTTTTGGTGTTTACACACAGCAGCTTTGTCTGGCTGACCGGATTGAACCTGTTGCCAAGTTTAGCTACTTTTCAGATTCTTGCTTGAAACTTGTAGCACAAACATCATCACCAGTGTTGCTCTTTATTTATTTTTTATTTTTTTAAGTGAGAATACTTTGCTCTCCTTCCATTGTATTCCTGCAGCTGTGGAGAAAAGCAGCTGCAGTGTTTTATGAGCTGCTTGCAAATGTGCAGCTTTGTCCGTGTAATGCATTAAAAGGCCGTGAACTGTGGGAAAGCAAACAAGACATTCTGTCTGTGCAACTCGCTGCACGGCCTTCATGCGTCTGGATGGATCTGAAATCTCATCAGACTTGCTCTCTTCAGTCTGGTTAGATGGTTGATTTTCCTCTGCAGAGCAGCGGCATCCAGTTTTGAGGGTTCACTGTTAATGGTTTGTTTTTCAGTCCCAGTTTCAGACTGGTTTTTACAGCCCGACAGCAGAAAATGAACTGAGCAGCAGCCGAATGAAGGTTTGACTGATTTATAAACCACCATCCATCTGACTCATTCTGCAGCTACTACCTACATGGCTGGATTTATACATTCTAGTTGCCAGTATTCTGCTAATATTGCAAGAAATGCAACATTCTTACAATTTTTAGACTAAAATCTTTCTAAAGCCTAAAAATTAAATGGCTTTTGCTTTGGTGACATTTTTCTTAACTCAATCTGGGAAGAAATGTGAAAGAAATTCAGATTATGACAATAAAAGTTTTGTGAACTGAATAAATTCTGAAATAATAGCTGCACAATAGTAGGAAAATATGCAACTGGGATATTGTTGGAAAATATTGCGATGATTTCTCGACTGTGATTAACCAGGATTATCGTCTCATCTTTTCTCTCGTCACGGCGTTCGTACTCCACCACAGAAACAGAATTTCAGCATTTAAGTCACTAAATTCAGCATCAGGTTTGGGAATAAAATGTCTTTTTTAACTGCTTTACTGGCATCCACACCATTTGTATTGTGTGGCCAATAAATGAATAAAAATTTGTTATTCTGGCATTTACTGTAGTCCTAACTGATTTAAAACAGAAAATGTTTCTTTATTGTTTTCAACCTCTGCAAAAGTATGTAGGAAAACATTAGTATATTCAGATTCTGTTCTTATCCCATTTTCTAAAGTTTAATCCACCCGTTTATCCTTCTGACCAGCCGCTCATCCCTTCATTCATTCACCTAGACTCTGTTTTCGTTTTGCTGGTTCCTTGTTTGAAACCAGGTTACTGCAGGGATGACTTCCATAAATTCCCAGTGAACTTTTTTCTGACTGTGTGGAGAAATCCCTGCAGGTTTTTCTGCTGAGTCACTTTTCCCTGTGGTTAGCCGTGATTGAGTAATGAATTATCTCTGCTGGTTCCATTAACTTCCTGAAAATAGGCCCTAGTTGTTTAAATCTGAGTGTAAAGAGGCAGGACTGAGCCATGGTGATGCCTGGAGGTTATTTAAGGTTACACTGTAAGATCTTAATGCTACATATTTTTCTCAGTGTTTTTCATGGTCATTCTTGCTACTGAATGATGGGATTGCAATCAGACTTCCATGCACAGAAGTATTGTCACAAAATATAACAATAATAATAATAATAATAATAATAATAACTCTCTCTCACTTTCTACCTGGATGATAAAAGTCTTCATTTTGGTGGATTGATCTCAACCAGCCTGGTTTTTTTTTTTTTTTTTAATTCTTGAAGGATAATTTTGTTTACAGAGACTTAGTATCCATTTTATCCAGGTGTTTTGTTTATTAATTTTAATATTTCAAATGACTTCCAGTTCCAGTGTTAAACATTAATTAGAAATTTACATTTGTTAATCTTTGAGAGGGCGCACTTGCATTATTATGCCATTACCAATATTTTACTTGAAAATGTTCTTAAAACAACAACATTATTGTTTGTCGCAGTAACTTTTGGGATGATTTAAATTAGTTTTTAATTTATTAAGATTTTGTCATTTGGATCCATTTGGACCATTTAAAACAATCAGTTTTTACTTTTTATAGGTAAATGTTTGAGTAAAATGAACTTTGTTCTTTTATCCTATGAACTACTGACAACATGTCTCTGAAATTCAAAGCAAAAATTTTGTTTTTATTTGCAGAAAATGAGAAATGGTCAAAATAACAAAAAGATGCAGTGCTTTCAGACCTCAAGTAATGCAAAGAAAACAACTTCATATTCATTTAGAAACAACAATATTAATGTTTTAACTCAGGAAGAGTTCAGAAATCAACATTTGGTGGAAGAACCAGGAGGTTTTCAATGAGGTTCAGTGCTGTGGGCTCTTCATTTTTTTCAGAGCTGTATTTATATTTGTCAGTAATGCTAACAAATATTGCAAATTAACCTTGTTTCCAATAAGTGTTGCACTGATTTAAGGAAGAGTTTCGCAGCCCTTTGGCTGCTGAACAGTTGTCATATCTGAGCGTCCAGCGCAGCCTCGCGGTTTCCTGTTACAGCAGCCGTTTGGTGTGACAGCTGTCCATCCTGCAGCCATGCAGACGGTGTCTCAACATGGACTTCAGGCCTGCTCAGGACATGTCCCATTGTGTCAAAAAACGACAAGTATTCCTCCCCCGGCGGGACCGACCGGAGGGGGCTGGATTGGCAGAGACTGGCCCAGCTGTGACTTCGTTGCCGAATGGCGGCCAGCACAGATGGCAGCGCCCGCGTTCCTCACATGAACGCATGCGGGTCGACGCGCACGCGATGGGACGCTTTCCAGCAGTGTGCAGAACAATCGCAAGTGGAGCTTAAAATGGAGGTTTACATGCATGGACGGCACATTTAGTGTCAGTGACCAATTATGTAATGAAGCTTCATTCCGATCAGCCGCCGCCGCCACAGCGTTAGGAAGGACACGAAAGAGACGTCCAGCTAGCGGCGTGTCAGCGGCGCCAGTCACTGTGAATTTACTCCTCCTGTTAACGTGGATAATTCTCATCGGAGGAGTATTATCCGCTACCCGCCTTCCTCTGGTCCTAATCAACTTACAATTAGGCTACACCGACTCAGGAGAAGTCAGTTAATTAATGCCAAAAGTCTCCATGCAAGTTGTTAACGTTGGATTTAAGCTGCGGAAGCAGTGTGTGGGGGAAAAAATCAACTACAATCTTATTGCTTCCAAATGAGTGAATAATGCACCGGATTCGTTGAATCCAGTTTGGTCCTATGTAAACCTCTGGGACACAACAAGCGGTCAGCAGAAAAATCTTTAATTACATCTCCTTAAAGTGTTTACCGCTTTTATTTTGAAGGCCACATCTGTCTCTTCTCTGTTTGCGTTCTTGTAACACCAAAGGGGCTGATGCAGATAACGTTTTAATAGCCTGAACAATTTGGTGTATTTACCCAGAATACCTTGCGCTGCTTCTGTAGACTTGGTCCACTTGGCGTTCACATAATAAGACTGAGGTTTTTATGTGGACGAGAGTTTGTGTATTTGGTCCACATCAGAGTTCAATTAGACAATCAAACCAAACTGTCCAGACAAACGGACCAGAGTTCAGTTAAAGCGAACCAAACAGGACCGCTTTAATTCACAAGCTGTTGAAATAGTTGTTCTTCTTTTACAAGTAGAGTTTTCTTTCCACAGTTATAGCTCTGAGTTATAAGAGCTATAATTAGAAATTACATCTAATTTCACATTAGATGTGAACTTTTCCTGTGTTCTTGAGAAGCTTAAGAGCAAAATGTTCAGTAAACTTGCATGTTAAATGATTTCTCAAGCAAGCATTTACTAGATTTACCTTTGTCTGTACTTGATATTAAACAATCATCTGTAATCGAAGGCATTAAATGCGTTGTGAATGCAGCTTTTCAGGACACAATGTATGCGGCGGTCCCATGGCGAGGAGCAACACACAGGACTAGTGTTCATGCTGTTGTGTGGCCCTGTGAAGAGCGCCTGTCACCAGTGACTGAACGTATTCTTCCTCAATTTCTATGGTGCTAAGATGTTCCTCTCACCCCTCCCTCCTTCCCTCCATAGTTCCTGTTTCTTGCGGGCGTTAATGGATGCAAAGGTCGACTGTGCGGCCGTCCTCTGTCAGCTGGTTTCTACGTGACACGGCAAAGCAGAGGCTATGGTTGCTAATTTTGCCCGAGTTCACCTCAGTGCTGTCTTAAATTTTTATTTTTTTTATTTTTTTGAAAGTCAGGGTTGGAATGTGGATCTTTTGGCTCAGTGATTCCTTCGCATTGATTTGAGTCAGGCCTGCTGTCTGGATCCGGTAATCTTTATAGGGGTTTTATAGCATCGAAAGTTGAAAAGAGTCAGATCAGCATGTTGCGTTCACTGACCCTTGGACATTAAAACTCATACTTCTGGCTTCCCTCGAGACTCGAGATTTATTGCTGCCTTCAGTCAACGTTTAATCGCTTTACTGTAGTCGAGTTCTTTGGCTTCTTGAGTCCAAACAAGCCTTGTTTTAATTAATTCCTGTGGGATTAAAGGAAGCAGCTCGTTAGGGAATATGTCTTCAAAAATAATCCCCCATTACAGAACATGAAGCGAGTAAGATGAACCAAATTAAGGTGTGGCATAATCAGATCATGGATTGAAGATGGTCAAAATTGGTAAGATGTAGTTGCTACTCCTGCATCATTTAAAAATAATCCAACCCTTCTGGGTTTTGTCGCGCACGTTGACGTTTTCGGGGATCACCTCGTTCCAAAGTGTTGTTGACGGCTGGAAGTCAGAGGTCCTCCCACCCCGAGGGTAAAAACACGTCCCTATAAATAGAGCTGCGGGAGAAACGGGCCAGCAGCAGAATGACTGGCATGTGTACTACCAACCCCAGCATAGATGTGGAGTGTGAAGCAACACACCGGGGTACAGAAACGAACCCCTCCCTCGCCCCACCAGCTCACTGAGATCCGTCCCGGCTTCTCAAAAACCAGGAGTGAAGGTCTTCTCGCCATATCTGTGCCTGTTGGCGTTTCAGAAAAGAAAAACGATGAAAGACGATACTTCAGATTCCTCTAGGTAAACATTCTGCACAGCAAGGTATCCAGTGTATGTAGCATGTTCTTTAATCTTCTCACACTGGAAATGGTGATGATACACAAAGACTAAGTCTATTGTAAACTAATTTTGTAATAAGTTCTAAAAATACTGCAAATGCTTTTTGTGTGGAACATGTCTGGCTTTAAAACGACCCAAAAATAGACGATGTTCTGGAAAAGGCCGGAGTTTTATTTTTGGGGTTTTCCTAAGAAAAAAGAGAAGAAACTATTTAAAAATATTTGTATTTCCTGATTTTTATTCACTATTTAATTCTCAAAAAGTTATCTGTCCATTCATCCATCCATTTATTTATCCGTCCTTTCATATGTCCTTCTGTCCTCTTTTTCTCTTTATCTCTCTGTCTTCATAAATGATTGAAAGACAAGTCCATATTTTCATTTTATTTAATTTGCTCTGAAGTAATTCATTTGTACTCATGAGTGAATTAGAGGAGAAGTACTTAATTACTGGTCACAAATCTAAATTGGTGAATGTTCCCTTAATGATCTCTGATCTCAGTGATCTGCACGTATTCACAAAAAGCTTCAAAATATCTGCTTTCATGCACTGTTTTGTGCTTAATCCAAATCAAATAAGGTTTGACATCCATAATATGCTCAAATTGTCATTGTTTTCCAAACATACAGAGAGTTTTACATAGAGAAGAAATGGTTAAACTGGTATAATCAATCTTTCTAGTATTTAGGTAAATGCATCCATTTAGAGCCAACCTTGTTTACCTAAACAAATTAGTTTTTTTTCCATTTGCGATTCATAAACTTTAAAATCATTTTAGTTCAGTTTTGTAACATTTTAGATGCTATATAAACTGCTAGAGGATTAATAGATGGGGTAACATACTGGTTTCTAGCTTTTAAAAGTCTGACAGGAGACATTTGTCTGGTGTTAGCTTAGAAAGTGCTAGCTAACATCCTAATGCAGCTAATGGCATTCTATAAATTTCTGTTAGCATGCTAACTACTGCTAGATAGGACGCTATAGCTAACAGTATCTGCTTGCTAGGATACCATAGCAGTTAGCTAGGATAGCATGATTTACATTTTGGCTAATTTTATTAAATCAACAAATACTATTGTATAACTTAATTTGTAGCATGTTAGCTAATGATAGTTGACATAAAAAACATGACTGTATCATGAGCTGTGTTTAACATAGCAGATAGTGTTACTAGGTTATTAGCGGTAATAGAAGGCTAATGCCTAAACTTAAGTTAAATGAGATGGGTAAAGTTTGCTATCGGTAGCAACATGCTAGTACTAGCATTATTACCAATATAGATTCAAGATTCCTAATTGAATTTAAAGCCTATAGCTTCTGTGTTTTGGCCCTATTTAAGCAAGAAAACCTTTGTGCAAACCAAATGGCAGGCATCATCAAAAACACACTTTAAAAATGTCTGTTTGATCTTTTTCTCTGCTGCCAGCCAATATTTAGGCATCCCTGCATTTGCATCAGAGGGAAGATCATCTGCGGAAAGGCCTGTAAAGAGGCACTTTATCATTTCATAAACTGTCGACTGACTCAGGGTTTTCTCCTGTACTCTGCTTTTCCCCTCCACTGCAGTGTGATTTACCATGACAACTGAATCGGGCGCAGACTCTGAGGCCAAACAGCCGCAGGCGAAGAAGGAGGCAGAGAAGGGGAAAAGTAAAGCAGCGGCGGACCCTGCCTCGCCCCAGAACCAGCCGGAGCAGCTCCCAGCTGCAGTTGGACACAGCACCCCGGCCAGGAAAGAACAGGTCAGCCTCCTCATGTTCTGCTCGTCCTTGGAACGCACTCGGACATGAAAACACACAAAGCGAAGGTTTAACCTGTGAATATATCAATAAACAGCTTTCATGTTCTAGATAAACCGTGTTAGACCATTTAAAGAAAGGAAACATTTCACAACATGATTGCTCCAGAATGAATCGGCTCTTTGTGAGGAAAATGGAAATTGCGGTGACAGCATGATTTCAGTGTCCTCCTCTATTGTTACGACCCGCAAATCCGATGGAGCCAACTCTTCTTTTAGCTGCTGCGCCATTCATTTATTTCTCCAAGAAATAAACGTGTGATTTGGCTACAACTTGCAACATTTGGATATTTCTTATTTGTGAACTAGATTCCAAAAGGTTGACACTGACTGTGGGATCAGTGACTAAACGGAGCCACTGAAGTTGCACTTTGGCAGTCAAAGCTCAACTTGGTTTTAGACCGAAAAATTGTTCTTAAAATTACTAAGTACGCCTAAATAAGTAAAACCATGTAAGCTTCACTTTATTTTTAAGGACGATTCATGACTTTTCATCTTCTTCACATTAAAATCCCCCTCTTCTACAAAAATCCACTGGCCAGGCTTTATTTTAGTTTCAGAAAATTATCTTTTGTTAGGAAAAATAATTTCTAATCACTGACTCTTGACAGTATAATATTAAAAAGTGTTATTCTGTGGATTCCCTGCAGGATCTCGAAATCTACTTTAAAAAGTTGACAAAAGGAGCTTAAACACATTCTTTTAGGGATATTACCATTGTAAACTGTCAAATACTGCAACGCATTAAGCTTTTACACGTCACTATTTTGTAAATTGCATCGTTTAGGTGTTAAAAAAAACAATTGAGTATGACATGAAGATGATGATGGTTATATCCTCCTTTTTTTCTTTTTTTATCTCGTAATGAGTCGTGCACAAACTGGGGTTAAATACAGCAAAGGTTGCAGAAGAAAAATTGTGTTTTCCTTGCTGGGGATAAACTAAAAACATTTTATGTACTTCGAAAATGGAAATTAATAAGCCTAAAAAGTTAAATGGCTGTAAATCTTAGAGTAAATGAAAAATATTACAGTTTATTTGTTATTGTGCAGGTAAAAGAGAAATAACTCTCAATAATATTTTTTTAATTGGGGGGGAAATAAAATTTGGCTTAACTTTGGGCTTTTGATCATTTGTGCAAAACGTTTGGACACCACTGATGTAAATGTTCTAGTCTGACTAGTATTTGTCCTTCAATCATGCTCTGATTTGTTGCCCTTCGACGTGCCTGATTAGAAAACGCCATGTATCTGAGTCGGTTTAACAGGTTTTTTTTTCTCCATTAATATTCACAGCAGACAAAACAGAACCAGTTTTATTTCCTCTTCCTGGTAACGTCCTCCTCCTCATCCTCCTTTTTAATCTGCGCTCTGAAATGTTCAGGGCTGCACTAAGCAGCCACTGATGGATGATGCACTGTGGTGTAAACTGTCAGAACCGAGCCGGAGGAAAGTCCCAGCGCCGCGACGCCGTCTGTCATCCCTGTGAAACGCGCTCCAGCCGAGGGCGCGTATGCCCCAGGAAGTGGCTCCAGCAACAGCTTTCTGCTGCGATTTCATTTGTCTGCAGCACCTCTGCTCATCAGACATTACTCAACAGCATCTGTAAAACAGTCTTAGATATTTATAAGCCTTCTGCAATAAACTATCAATTAATTCATCGCAAGATAAAAAAATTTAAATGTGTTTCGTCATTTCAATTCTGATCATTTTTACGGGCAGTTTTGTTTACAGACACTTCATAATCCATTTTATTTATGGTTTCAGTTTTGGTTATTTTGGATATTTAAAATAAAGTCCATTTCCTGTATCAAGGGTTCTTTACAAATCAAAGTTTGTTGGCTTTTGAAATGGTAGACTAAATTATTATGACATTTTGAATATATTACTTGAAAATGGTCTCAAAACAACTAAATTATTGTTTATTGCAGGAGCTTCTTGGATAATTTATTGTCAAGCAAAATTTGTTATTGTGACAAGTCTAACTATTTATGTGAAACTTTCACATTGTTGTTGTGTCCAAGTGATATCCTGCTGTGTTTGGGCTCTGCCTGGACAGTCTGTCCACTTGAGTTTCAGTGAAAACTCAGAGCAAGCTGATTGATATAAGCTGAGATGTGAGATAAGGGATGAATAATCCTCTCTAAAGCTTGTTTTTCAGGATAAATTCAGTTAGGAAGGGCCTTGTGTTCGGGCAAGTGGAAAAGTGGATTTTCTCTTTTTAAAAAACGGTGGTACACCTCAAGCTCCTCTCTGTGGGACCTCATTAAATTTCCGGCATGGTCCCAGTTATTATTTATAGCTTCAGGAATGTGACACAAATTGTTTTCGTTTTATTCTTTCCTCAAAGATAACTTGAAGTGACAATCCAGGCGAGGACATTCACACAATAAAATGGCAACAGAAGAGTTTTTATCTGGTCTTTCGAAGCGTTTTAATCTGAGTGCAACAACTCCTCACAGTTTTAAGATGTGAGAGGAAATTGTAATTTAGTACAAGATTAGATATGTGGCAACAATTTAAAGGAATGATTCGCTTTTTAGAGTTGGATACCGCCGGCAGACAATCTGCTGTTACTGCGACATGAAAGAGAGACGGAAAAACTTGGAAAGTATTGGGAGCAAATGATGCTTCAGTGGCTATTTTCTAGGAAACAGACACTCCTAAGCACAGAAGCATTGTGCTTGGAGTACATTTTATAGAAAAGATGAGAGTTAATTTTCTGTTTCTGACATCAATAGCACATAGAAGCATTGGACCAGGAATACTACTAATGCAGGGGTGGCCAAGTCCAGTCCTCGAGAGCTGCCATCCTGCAAGTTTCAGATGCATCCCTGCTTCAACACACCTGAATCAAATGACTGGCTCGTTATCAGGCCTCTGTAGAGCTGATCCCGGTCTTTTGGAGTAAGGATACTTCTAAAACTTGCAGGATGGTGGCTCTCGAGGACTGGACTTGGCCACCCCTGTACTAATGGGAATGAAAAAACAGAGTCCACAGTAGTAATACTTGTGGATTTATAAAAGTTTTGCACTTGTTCTACCAGGAGCAGCAGGAGGAGGACCAGGAATCCCACAGGTCGTCCACAAGTCGTCTGTCCAGGTCTCCCCTGAGGGGCGTGAAGAAGGTGAAGATGATGCAGTGCAAGATCGCTCTGCTGGACGGCTCCGACTACTCCGTCAACGTGGAGGTCAGTCTTTGCAGGCGGCAGAGGTGAAATGTTTTCAGTAAATGTGGTTTACGGCTGTTGTAAAAGATTAAAGAGAGGTTTTGTTTTCATTAACCTTCCAGCGGTTTTAAGAAATGGAATAATTTCTCAAGTTTTTTACGCTGTGCGCAGTCCAGCGGGCTTGAACTGACCCCTCTTG